CTTTTTAAGTAGAATACTATGGTCAGTAGTGTCAAAGGCTTTCTTAAAGACAACATAAATACTAGCACAGGATTGTTTTTATCAACAGCAGCTATTTGTTCATTGAGTCATTCAGCTCTAAACTCATACTGACTGCTACTTAAAATGTTTTGTTTGCTAATAAATTTACCTAATCTGTTCATATGAAGATGATCAGTTATTTGAAAAAGAAATAATAATAAAAAAGCCACAAGTCTTGCCATTTATATTTTCGTGTGAAGATTTTGACACAAGTTATTGTTTACTAAAGGTTCAATGTTTGAAAAAAAGGTGATAAGCTCTCGGTGAAGCAGAAACAAGTCTGACCTTTTAAATAAATCTGATTAAAAAATACAAAACCTGACAAGTTGTAATGATGTTTATGCATGCTGATAAAAAAAATACATGCTGCTGAGATCACAGCGTCAACACACAAGATTCTGTTTTAATTATTGAACAAAAAAATAAAAATAAACTTTGTTTCACCTCCAGCTGATGAGTTCAAACAACTGGARATAAATGTGACATGATCTCTATCTACTGGTATTTAAAACATAAACTTTATAAAACATTTTGTCAGATCCTGGAATAAATGGGCGTTCTGCACTCGTGTTATTAATACAAGCATTAGTTTGGTGGTTAGTTCAGCAGAAATGTTGCAGTCTGAGTCCCAATCAGAGCATCTTTAACAAGGTTTACATATGAAGGCGGGGTCAGTTTTATGTTTTACAGAAAACAGTGTATATATCACAGAAAGAAGTCATTTACTGTCCTTTAAATAAAAAAACCAAACCAAATGGAAATTTGTGTTTTTATTAAAATGAGAAAAGATTGTAGATTTACACATGAAGTGGTCCAACGTACTGGTAGTGGCAAGATTACAGAAGATAAATCATTGTTTTATTTCCATTGCACCAAAGTTGGCAAAGCATTACATTGTTTTAAAACATCAGGTTCATGGACCTGCTGTGTCGAAGCTGTTTCTGTAAGCTCTCCTGTTGTCTTCAACACATCCGCAGAGCCTGAGGTTGTTCATCTGCCCACACAGAAGTGGAGTTGTGGGATTTATCCTTCTGAAGCAAAAGAACTTAGGAGCTTTACCTGGTGAGCTGCTAAAGTTTCATCCAGAAAAAAACAAAACAAAACAACAGATCCAACTAACAAGAGCTGCGTGTGTACCTACAAATATTTATTCCTCTGTGACATGGAGCTGCCATCACTGCTGTTGCACCATGTGACACCATCCTTTGTTACAACAAAAAGATCCCCACTGCTGCGCAAAACACACACACACACACTTCATCTCTAAACACTGTAGCAAAATCTAACAACTACAGTGCTTTGTTGTGTTTGTGTAAGGCTGTCAAAAAACTACAGTATTTTAAGGAAATTACTGACTCGTTAGAAAACTGAACTAAATGAATTTAGACAGAGCTATAAACGAGCCTTGTTGCCCAGCTGTGGCAGTAAAATTAAAGTGAACAAAAGGAAAGAATTGTATAAAGCTATAAAGAATAAAAATAAAACAAAAAATAATTTCAAGGCTATTGGTGAGACTACATAGTGCTGTTTTAAAAAGTGCACCTGAGGACAATTCT